ATTCCTGTACCTCCTGGAGACCTTTTTTTAAAGGGGGGTGAGGTGGGGGGCATTTCTCTACTTAGTAGATGAGGAGAACATTTATTAAGCTACTTTTCCTGGGCTTCTCTCTCTCTCTTTTTTTTTTCCCCATTTTGTGATGTTAGTAACTTGAAACCCTCTTATACTGTGGAAGCCTAACTCTAGGTTTCTTAAGTTAGAAAGGAGGGCTGGGGAAACATGAAACATTCCTATTATACATCTTACTCTAGTAATCAACAATCCATATGCAAAACTCTTCGTTCACAGATAAATCCCTTGGGTCTTTGATCTATTATATTGGACCCAACCAAATTCAGTGATTCACTCAGGGTTACCTGAAAGAACTCAATCTCGTGAGTGTCAAAGAGTAGACTGCCTGGCACTGAGCAGAACACATTTCTTCTAAAGTGAGAACAACTTCAACTTTTTCTCTTTCAAGTCTTCACAAGAGCTGTCCTTAACATTTTAAGTGTCATTAGGTACCTTATAAAAAAAAGATCACTGATTTATTCTATATAATTTGGTGAACTTGGCTTTTAAGGAATTCAGGGACTTTGTACCAAGTTTAATTTTAAACAGAAATCACAGTCCTTTGAATATGGTGAGATCAAATGGACATTTGCAGACCCTTCTGAAGAAATACATTGTATTTCTTCAATGTATCTTCATATCTTCCATCTTTCTTTAGCAATCTATATTGCTCTAATGATAAAGACTAAGTGATTTCTAAATAATTTTGTGAAGTGTCAGTTGTTTCTTATCTTTTTTCCTCTCTTTTAACCAAAGGCTATGCCAACCTTGCCAAAATAAGACACAGCATTGGTTTAATTAATTATCTGGATAATTTGGCCCTTCTTACATGACCCTCTTGGTCACAATCTCCCTTTTCTGAGAAGCCTCGTTATGATTGGCTGACATCTGTTGAGTCTTTAAAATTCAAACTATGACAGCTAAGATTACATTTAAGCCAAGGCTGGAACTCCGAAAAGCCAGAGCTTACTTCTAAATGTCTAAGAACTGCTGGGGGTGGCTCTCAGTGTGCAAGCAGAGAGCAGAGTGGCTAAGGGCCAGGAGGATATGGCTGGAGCCCCGGCTCTGGCCTGCACTGCCTATGTGAACTTGGACAAGGGCTTTAACATGCCTAGGCCTCTTATTCTTTCCTCATATATAACACGTGCTGAGATGTTACAAGCACATACTAAGTGCTCGATGAATGGAAGCAATGAATACTTTTGCTTCTCAATCTGTAAAAATAGAAATAAAATGCTAATTCCACATATACTGCAACTACCATCAAGGGTTCTACACACCTAAAGGGTTCTACAAACATTGTTTTAGTTTCTGCAATAAGGGTGTATTCTCATTTCTTCCATGGTGCCTATGCTTAATATTAAAAAGCAGGTCATTTTATTCCATACAGCTTTTTTTTTTTCTTTTTTTCAGTGTAGAATTCAACACTTGCCTCCACCCCCAAATTACCACCACCATCAAAATTGAAAAATGTGATGATAGATTTCATTAGAGTAAATATTCCATAATATTTGGGTTTCTTCCCTAACTGGCCTATAACATTACAGGGAAAGCTCTACATAACGGATAACGTTCATGGAAAACATGAGGAGGCCCTGGACGGGCTGTTACAGGCTTCTTCACAGCAGCCCCACACGTGACACTAATAGCTCTGAGATAATGTGTAATGCCTTCACACAGTCACATGTGCTGCTTATTCAAATTTCAGTGGAATCTTGCCTATAGCTGGGTTTTCATTTTAAAGGTTCTGTCCACATTTCCGACAGAAACCACAAACTGAGATGTTTATTATCATTAAAAAAAACCTCATCTAGGGAACATTTACAATGATTTCAGTATCCTTCTGTTCTTGACAAGTTAGAGACTTAAAAGCTAATGAGCTATTTTATTTTTTAATTTGGGGTTTCTTCATCATCTCGAACACCCGTGAACCAGGGACTGTTTTGACCTTTGGACTCCCATGTCACCTAACCTACTTTAGAATTAGTAAATTACTGAAATGTGAATCATTGTTCACTCATAGCAAGGTATAATATACACCTGCCCACTCTGAAAGAAGAACGGTAGAAACCTACGTGTGTCCATCTGTCCATAGAACATGACAAGACTCCACATCAAGAGCTGCATACTTCCAGAAGTCTACCGTAGACCCGTATTTGTATATAGTAGGTTCACTGTTCCTCCTCTTTACTGTGCCTCAAAGCAGTTGGGGTAAAATGTTCTTTTATTCATGACCCACCTATGACCAGGTCACTCTTTAGCTCACATTGCAATTCTTTCCCTCCAGTTTAACAGTAAGAAAAAGTAAGTTCTGTTCTTTGCACCCTGCCCCATTTTGCGAAATTATCATCTGATACTGGAAGGCAAAGCAAGGTTTTGGAAACATATCAATTTCTTCCCTCCATCTCCCCACCCCTAACTCTAAAATATCTCTACCACCAGGCAGCGTGTAGGCTCATAAATACACTGGTGCTTAAGGGATAAGGACCTCAAAGGACACTTACTGATAAAACTTGCTTCAGTGCAACAAGACAACTCTTCCAGCACTTTGCTTATGTCACCTATGACAAGGAGCTTAGCAACGTCTCAAAGATGAGTGTGAATTACTAGACCCACTAGGATAGACCACCTGTGTAGTCGTCTTTTATGTCTACTTCCCTTTTGTGATCTCAGGGAGACCCCTTTCTTTACACTCAAATCAAATCCTTAGTTATATCACCTTGCATTAAATCAAGGCAAATGTGAGGCAATACTGTGGTATGTTTCAGGCCATTTAATTATGGCAAAGAATACTCATTTCTTCCAGTTATCCCTACAATACACACACACACACACACACACACACACACACACACACAACTGCTACATTTCAGGGAGAAGCGATCAGGTGAGCAGCCTGGGCTTTCTGACAACCTTTGGGGCAGCTCCAATTAGATAAGCTTTAAAACAGTAAAAGGTTGAAGTGAATACACAGCACTTGACTCATCTAAAATGTGCAGTGTAATAAATTCAGGCCTAAAAACCTTTCCAAAGATTAGAAGAAATGCCCAAAGTCACCAGTTAATTATGCAAAAAGGGAAGGTTTTGGGGGGTGGGGGTGGAGGTGGAGCAACAGAGGAGCCCTTGGGGGACCCTGGGGAGGTGCTGGCAGAGCAAAGTGGCAACAGAAAAGATATAATATTTCATCGAAGGAAATAAATTGGCTTACTAGCTAGACAAAGGTCTTCAGAGGCTATGCTGCAATACATTGTGAACACTTGTCAGCAATAAAATTCGAACTAAAAAGTAGCTTACAAGGTGGGCTAAGTATTTGGGAGCTAAACAGTTCCAATCAATCAAAAGTTCTGAGCACAGAGAGACAAATGCAAGCAGATATTCATCAAAAGGAGGAGTCAAATGAACCCCCTTCCGAAAAACTGTTTGGTTTTTGAAAACTAAAGGTGCATCAAGATAGGTGCCTTTTCTATACAAACATCCTTTGAGGTCTCTTGACTTAAAGGAAAAGAAATAAAGAGTACTACAACGTCAGGAGCTGCTCAATCACATGCCGGGGCCAGTTCCGACCCCTGCCCATCAAGGTGACAGGCTGCTGCCCTCTTCCCCCAATCCTCTTCCCGGCCTTAAAAATGCAACTGCATCCCGCCGCAGGCCTGCGAAAACGGGCCGCACAGGCAAAGTGCGGAGTACCAGTGCCCCGCTGCTGGAGAGGCTGCAGCGCTCGATTTGCAATGACGCCACATGGAGAGAAATGGGGGAAAACATGAAGAAGAAACAAGGATGAGAAGGCAACAAACAAAAATGTGCTCCCCTTCTTTAGTGGTGCAAGACGGAAAGAAAGGAAAAAAAAAAAACAAACCCAAACTAGAGATGGCCAATGGTCGGCTTATCAGGACACATATGGGACGCCTCTAATCCATACATGAGCTTAAAAAAAAAAAAGTACCTGGGAAATCAACTTGGACACTTTCTAATACAAAATTCTCCCCATGATCCCATCACCACAAACTCGGGATAAATAAAAACCCCAGCACTCAAGCTATTAGAGACTACAATTTACTTACAAACCAGATGTTTACATAATCACAAATTACATAGTACTCCTGTGCACTAAAAATCCTTCTGTAAGTGAAGCTCCAAACCCTCCGGTCTTTTAACGTTTTCCAGGGAGAGCTGGAGAAGTCTGCGGAAGAACTGGGGGGAGGGGGAAATGGAATGCTGGAAAGTCATTGACAAGCTGTCAACCCAACCAAATGTTCCAGGATAAAAAGAGACTCGGAGCAGGTGACTCTCCTCTGTCCCCATCCCCTGCCGCACGGGCGTCTAAGGCCAAGGCAGAGGGAGCAGGGCGCAGGGTGCGGGGCGCGGCCGGGGCTTACCTGCTCCCCGAAGTCGATGGCTATGTTGGTGATGCCCAGGGGCACCAGGAACCGGATCAGGGGCCAGTAGTGCGTGAGCGCCGGGAATTTCACCATAGTCCCCGCCGTGGGCGGACCCCACACACATCTGCCGCCGGGAGGAGACTCTGCCGGGAGGCGCGGGCCGAGCAGGCCGGGCGGGGTCGCGGGCGGACTGAGGCCGGGACCGGCCGGGTCTCAGGGCGGCGGCGGCGGCTCCTCGTCGCGGCTGCGGCGCCCTCTCCGAGCGCAGCTGCTCTAGCAGGAGATCCGCAAGCTCAAGTCCATCCCTGCTGCCCTCCCACACAACAAAGATCTGTCGGGAAAAAAAAGAGGAGGGACGGCGGCGGCGGCAGCGGCGGCAGAAGGTTCCGCTGACAGCGGCTCCATTATAAGCGCTCTGGGGCCCGGAAATAAATAACCGCGCGCACGAGGCGGCGGCGGCGGCGCCGCCGCCGCCGCCGCCGCCGCCGCCGCCGCCGCCGCCGCCGCCGCGCAGAGGAAATCAGGGGCGGGCGCGGAGGCGCGGACAACGCCGGCGGCCAGGGGGCGGGCGACGGGCTGGGGAAGGGGCCGGGCCGGGCGGGCGGCGCCCTCCTTCCCTCTTTCCCTCCGCCGCCGCCTGCGCTCGGCGCGGCCGCGGGGGGCGCTGCGCACGCACAGGCCGCGGAGCCGCCGCCTCCGCCGCGTCCCGGCGGCGCTGGGTGGGACTCGCCGCGGTGCCCCTTGTCGACCGAGGGGCGGCGGCGCGACGCTGATGGGGAAGCGGGCCGGGGGCGGCGCGTGGCCCGAAGCCCGAGGGCACCGCGCGGGGAGCCTGAGGGGCGGGCGCACCCAGAGATGCGAAGGCCCCGGGGCAGCCCGGGCTCCCTGGCCGGGCCCTGTCGCCCGAGCCCCTCGGGGCTCGGGCCTGGGGTCCCCGCGCTGTCCGGGGACCGGCCGGGGTGTGTGGGAGACTGGCCGCCAGGGCCGGCGAAGTGAGCGCGGATGCGCGAGGAGGGATCGGGGCGCGCTGGGGTCGGGAGGGAGCGGGTTTGGGAAGCTCCCACTGCCCGCCTGGCGGGCACCGCGCCATACCCCATCCCCGGGTGGCCGCCTCGAGGCAGGCGGGGACGTGAGGAGGAGACCGCTCCGGGAGGGGACCTGCTTGGGGCCCACCTGGACAGCTGGGGGCCCGGGAGAGATGGAGGCGTCGCTCTTGGCGGGCGCGAGAGACCGAGAAAAGGAGCATCTCTCTCAGGGTGTCCAGGGGCGACGGGGACCGCATCCCGGAGGTAAATGCGAGGAGAGCCGCGGGGACCGTCCCCTCAGGCGCCCAGGCTGGGCCGGCCGGCCTTCGGGGTACCCAGACGAGCCTCCAGCGGACTCTGCCTACTGTGAACTGAGATTCTTCTCAATGCACCGCTGTTGTAAGCAAGAACAACCAAACTCGAAAAGTCTCTTTTCAATATAGAAGGAGAAAGAAAAATCTGTTTTACAATACTTGCCCCAGTGATTTCAGGGTTAATAATAGCCATGCTGAGTGTTTTACCTAAACTGAAGAACAGTACGGCAGGCAGCAAAGCCAGCATCCATCTCTGCCCCAGCGCGCTGTGACCAGAGGGTCGAGGCCGCGAATGAAAAGCGCCTCAAGAAGGGAGAGAGTGCGTGAACATCATTGTACCTAAAAGGAGGGTAAAAGAAGGCCTCGTGTGCAGGTCTGAATTCACTGATGTGTGACCTGGAGGCTCGCAAAGGTCCCAGGACTTAGAAGGAGCTGTGCCCGGTTTAATGTTCTGCCTCTGGAAATTAATGATTTTTGAAGGAGAGGTCGGCAAGTTATGTAGCCTGTCCTACTTATATTATTTTGAACTGCCCCCTCACAACGCATCTTTTAAAGTTTACTGAGCATAATAAATTAGTTTATTATTAAAAGTAATAAAGTGTGCACCCAGGAACGAGCCTATTACCTCACATTTCGCAGTGTAAAAGTTGTGTTCATAGTAAGCATGAGATCTCCACCTCCTGGGTTCAGGTATTTCACAATTATTAGAAAATATTAAATGTTTTCCATATTTTATGCCTTTAAAAGACCTTTTAAAATTCCAAACAGAGCAAGGCCTTGAGAAATAGGAAGCTAATTTACCTCGTAGCTCAAATTACATGCCCTATAATTAAAATGAAATTCTGGTAATTATTTATTGTGTTAGATTTGTCAAATAGTATTATTTAAGCGATGTCCCAGCAAAACAGGAAGTTCTTGGGTACAGGACTCTGCTCAATAGCAAGTTCCTGAAAGGTGTGTTTTAATATAGTTGGATCTTGTTTTAAATATACCGAGACAGCCTATTTAAAGGAATTCTCAGGGAAGGAGTTTTTTCCTAGAGCAAATATCACCTTATGGTTTATCCATTCTGTCGACTAGCAATTTTACTCAAAGCAATCTCATTACACTGACCTTTGTCTTGAATGTGGGGTTGATGAGGTTCTCAGTAGACCTTCAGGAAGCCCGGTTTGCTTTGGTTGGTCCCTGAACAAGCGCCAGCCTCATTGCTGGTGCTGATACAAACGCACACCTTGGTCTTAAGAAGGAACGATGAGAAAGTTCCAGTGAATCAATGAGAGGTCCTCATCCTTGTCTGAGTATTCTAAGTGTGGTTTTGTAAAATAAATGATTTAATAGTGTCATCTTTGATTCTGGCAAAAAGCACTTTTTAGGTTTGAAAGGGCTTTGCATTTCAATCACACGATGGCAATGTGGAACTGAATGGAACAATTAATTACTTTTTTTTCTGTCAAAGTTTAAAAATCTGATAGATTTCAAAGGGAGTTTTGGACCTTTCTCTCTCTCTCTTCCTCTTTTTAACTTAGCAGTTGTTTGAAAAGATAACTCCATAATACAGGTGATGGTAATGAATAGGAAGTTTTCTAAATTACCCGGAAGCCAAGAAGAGATCACAAAGTCATTTAAATTAGATTCAGAGAGTGTTATCTTTCAGAGGGTACAGCTTTACTTTCAATGTACAAAGTTTTTAGTTTAGGTTTGATTGCTTTCAGCCAAAGACCATTACAAGATCTACAGACTTTATATTCAACAGTGTGAGAAAAAATTATGTACCCACAGGAAAAAATGCTGGAAAATAATATGGTCAACTATTAACAGTGGTTAGTTACAGCTGCATAGTGTTATTTTCATTTATACTTTTCAGTATTTAACACAATGGGCCTATATAAGTTTATAAAAAGAAAAAGAGTTTTAAAAAAATATTTACAAAACTTCCTTAGAAGTACAAGTTAGCATTGATTTCAGAGCATGGAAAAAATTACTCTTCCCAAAACAATTTCATAGATGACTAGCAATATACTATGATTTTGTTGCCTAAAATTATTAATGCTAAGTTTTGAACACGCTAATGTGAAAAGAGAAACTAAAAGTTACATATGTGTCTGATTTACTTTTTTCTGTAATTGATCATAAATGAATATGTTCAAGTTACCCTCAAGGAGCTTCTGCTTCAAAGGACAGAATGAAAGGTCATGTTTAAGATCATCCAATTCTACAACTCTACAACTCAGTGTTCTTGATTTGAGGAGCCCAATGGGATCAAATTGGAAACATAGCAGTGGACTTGGTCTGGAAGCAGTTGCCATAAAGATTTGTGTAAGATTGACTTCATAGAATTATCTACACTGGTCACACAGAATTATCCCATATCATGTATTTAGTATAACCAACTTATTTAACAGATAGTTTTTTTTGTTTGTTTGTTTTTTGCGGTACGCGGGCCTCTCACTGCTGTGGCCTCTCCCGTTGCGGAGCACAGGCTCCGGATGCGCAGGCTCAGCGGCCATGGCTCACGGGCCCAGCCGCTCCGCGGCATGTGGGATCTTCCCGGACTGGGGCACGAACCCGTATCCCCTGCATTGGCAGGCGGACTCTCAACCACTGCACCACCAGGGAAGCCCTAACAGATAGTTTTTATGGAAGATTTAGTCCCAGATGTTGGTGTCCAGTTTTGAAATGATCAGTAAGATAGAGTAGAGTAGACTCTACTCCAAAATAGAGTAGACTAGATATAAATTCAAGCCTTGTGGTCCTACATCTGGGCCTAGTGAACTGTTACTACATGGCTCACTGTGAATGCAGTGAGGGGGAGCTTCTGATTCTAGATTACTTAATTGTGTTCATATAAATATTGTCCTATTTCATGAAGTCATGATTTCTGCCCATATCCAGGCTTCCAGAGAACAGAAAGAGAAGTTGTTTCCTTCCCCAAAACTGCAAGTTTTACTTTTGCCATCTCTGTGTCATTCCAGCCCAAAGCCTAGTTATAATTTGCTTGGCCTAATTATCAAACCCAATTTTATACTCTCAGCATATCTCAACAGTTGGAGGTAGGAGGTGAGTGGCATGGGTAAATTATCCTGAAATCGAACATTTGCTGTAGATAAGCTAGAATTTGCTAGTTCAATTCTGTCAAGAGTTCTAGTTCTCCAGACTTGTGGTTGCCAAGAGGACGGGGGGTGGGGGAGGGATGGATTAGGAGTTTGGGATTAGCAGATAAAAACTATTATATGCAGAATGGATAAACAACAAGGTCCTACTATAGAGCACAAGGAGCTATAATCAATATCCTGTGATAAACCACAATGGAAAAGAATATGAAAAAGAATATATATATATATATATATATATATAACTGAGTCACTTTGCTGTACAGCAGAAATTAAACACAACATTGTAAATCAACTATACTTCAATAAAGTTTTTAAAAAAGAGTAATAGTTCTCAATTTTAATAAATTCTTTAATAATATTTTTAAAGGGACCACACAGATGCTTCAAAATGTTGTGCTGTAAAGAGGAATGGAGAAGATTTCTACATACTAGTATGGAGTGAGCTGCAGAATATTTTGAAAAAAGCAAGGTGGCAAACCATGAAATGGTATGCTATTTGGGGGGTAAAAAGAGAGAGAAATATGACTATGGCTCTGTGTGCCTGTGTGTATTTACTTGTATTTGTGAAAAGACCACTGGAAGTATAAATAAAAATTATTCAAATGTTTATCTATGGGGGAAGAAGAAAGAGACCAGCGTGGAATAGGGACAGAAGAAGAATTTCTCTGAATGTACCTTATTATCTAATTTTGGCTTTGGAAACATTTATGTTTTACATGTTGAAACATAAAATTAAATCAAAAGAAAATAATTATGGACAGCAGATAGATAAATCTCATGCATTTTTTTTGTTTATTCCTCTTTTATTCTGAGAAGAGGATTTGAGGCAGATTTAATCAGAGTACAGGTGTATGCCTTATGCATTTTATAAATTTTGATTTTTCTATAATTGCTAGGGAATAAAACATTTGGGGATCCCCTTGCCAGGTCAGTTATGTAACCTGATGGCATTGTGTATTGGTAACTGGTAACTTACTCCTACATCTGAAAAGTGACCTGAAAAGCAAAAGTAAGTTTTGGGATGGATTCTGCTCTTGCCACTCAAAACACCATCACCACCACCACCACCTGACTTTCAGGATTCTATAGGGATTCTTCATATAGGTGAGCATTTGATGATTTGCTGACTTATTTTTGGCTCCTTATGGTGAAACATACAAGGTAAGTGTATGTAATTCACCCTGACTCCTCAAACCTTAGGTCTGGCAAATCTTAATGAATAGAATGGAATGGAGGATGGAACTGATGAAAATGTAGCTACTTTTCATTTCCCTTTTTTCTCTTTCTCCAACTTCTGCTCTTGCTTTTTTTTTTTTTTTTAATGACCAGGATAACATAAAATGTCTGTAATTATAAGCATTCCTCATTTTATTGCCCTTCGTTTTATTGTGCTTGACAGATATTGCGTTTTTTTTTTTTTACAAACTGAAGATTTATGGCAACCCTGTGTTGAGCAAGTCTATCAGTGCCATTTTTTCCCATTTTTTCAACAGCATTTGCTCACTTCCTGTCTCTGTGTCACATTTTGGTAATTCTCCAAATATTTCAGACTTTTTCGTTCTTATTACATTTGTTATGGTGATCTGTGATCAGTGATCTTTGATGTTACCACTACAGCTAGCTGAAGACTCAGATGATAGCATATTTTAGCAATGAAGTATTTTTCAATTAAGGTATGTACATTGTTCTTTTAGCCATAATGCTATTGCACACTTAATAGACTACACTGTAGTGTAAACATAACTTTTTTTTTTTTTTTTTTTTGCGGTACGCGCGCCTCTCACTGTTGTGGCCTCTCCCGTTGTGGAGCACAGGCTCCGGACGCGCAGGCTCAGCGGCCATGGCTCACGGGCCCAACCACTCTGCGGCTTGTGGGATCTTCCCGGACCGGGGTATGAACCTGTGTCCCCTGCATCGGCAGGCGGACTCTCAACCACTGCGCCACCAGGGAAGCCCTAAACATAACTTTTATATGTCCTTGGAAACCAAAAAATTTGTGTGACTCACTTTATTGCAATATTCGCTTTATGGTGGTGGCCTGAAACCTAACCGAAATTATCTCCAAGGTATGCCTATAAATACAATTAATAAAGCTTAACTTTTTATTCTCGCTACCTATCCAAGGTCTATTTACTTTTACAAGCACTTTTAAAATATCATTAAAATATCTCACAAAGATATCCTGTGTGATTCTAGCTCATTTTGATAATTTCTCTTCTGTTTTATATTTTGACAATCAGAATGGGAACTGCATTAGTCTTTACTTCTAGTTTGTAAGTCTGACATCGGCCACAAAATATGAAATTTCCTGAGGCTGGGAACTATTTAAGATATTATTTCATCTGGTTTCACCCTCTTATTTCTCACCTCCACCCCAGAACAATAATAGACATTAAATAACACATTTTGAATTGAGTTTTCCATAAGCTTTTTTTATGTTTAACCTCCAAGTTGACAAGTGTATTATCCTTCCTGTTATATAGTTAATACTGACTGGACATCCTTAGCATTTGGGTGATAGAAGTAGAAATCAGATTTTCCAGCTTCTCAGACTTTACCATCCAAGAGAAGAGGTAGGCAAACAACACTCCTTTAATTGTTATTGCACTTTAATCAAATCTATTTTTCCTTTGCAGTGTTACTAATTATGGTAGAGTAGGTATTATTTGATTAATTAATCAGGCAAACAAGTAGTGCACAGTCGTCTTCACATTAAGTACATAGGTTATCCCTAAGTTCCTCTACCTCCACCAGAGCATTTTTATCCTAGAAAATGTTCCTGATTTCAAAATGGTATCCTACTACTTATTTACATGATTTTTCTTGTGACTCAGTAGATAGACTGGTTGGACAAGGGGTTAACATAACTGATGTCATTTTAATCTCTATATAGATCAATTAACTTGTTTTAATTCATTCAGCAACTTCTTTGGAGTGTCTGCTGTGTGCTAGACATGGTGCAAGGTGCTAGGTATATAGTATTGAACAAAACAAACGTGATCCCCCTAAGACTGGGAATAATGCAAGATGTGCTCTCTCACTCCTATTCAACACCACGCTGGAGGACCTAGCCAATGCAATCAGGCAAGTAAAAGAAATAAAAGGCATACACATTGGAAAGAAAAAATAATTTTTTATTCACAAAAGATGAGATAGTTTATGTAGAAAATACCAGAGATTCTGTAAGAAAGCTGCCAGAAAGAATACGTGAGCTTGCTTAGCAAGGTCACAGAACACAAAGTCAATATACAATAATGAATTGTATTTATGTATACTAGCAGTGAAAAATTGGAAATAGAAATTTAAAAAACTGTCATTTAAAATCCACGAAATACTTAGGGATAGAGCTAACGAAACACATGCATGTTTTTATTTATTTCTTTATTTGGCTGCATTGGATCTTCATTTCTCCACGCGGACTTTCTCTAGCTGTGTCAAGCAGGGGCTACTCTTCATTGCAGTACGTGGGCTTCTCATTGCCATGGCTTCTCTTGTTGTGGAGCATGGGTTCTAGGCATGCAGTCTTCAGTAGTTGTGGCACACAGGCTCAGTAGTTGTGGCTCTCGAGCTCTAGAGTGCAGGCTCAGTAGTTGTGGCACATGGGCTTAGTTGGTCTGTGGCATGTGGAATCTTCCCAGACCAGGGATGGAACCCATGTCCCCTGCATTGGCAGGCAGATTCCCAACCACTGCACCACAAGGGAAGTCCCAAAATGTGCGTGTTCTGCTGAAAACTACAAAACATTAGGAATTCAGAGGTCACCTAAATAAATGGAGAGCTGTGATGTGTGAATGGATCAGAAGCCTCAGTATTATTAAGATACCAGTTCTCCCTAAATTGGTCTATAGACTAAACAGAATTGCAATCAAAATCCTTTGGAGAAAGAAAAAGCACAGAACTGAGAGTAGACAAAACAATTTTGAAAAAGAAGAAAAAAGCTGGAAGACTCGCCTGGCGCTGAACCAAGATGGTGGAGTAGAAGGACGTGCTCTCACTCCCTCTTGTGAGAACGCCAGAATCACAACTAGCTGCTGGAAAATCATTGACAGGAAGACACTGGAATTCACCAAAAAAGATACCCCACATCGAAAGACAAAGGAGAAGCCACAATGAGATAGTAGGAGGGGTGCAATCACAGTGAAATCAAATCCAATAACTGCTGGGTGGGTGACTCAAAGACTGGAGAACGCTTATACCACAGAAGTCCACCCACTGGAGTGAAGGTTCTAAGCCCCACGTCAGGCTTCCCAACCTGGGATTCTGGCAATGGGAGGAGGATTTCCGAGAATCAGACTTTGAAGGCTAGTAGGATTTCATTGCAGGACTTTGACAGGACTGTGGGAAACAGAGACTCCACTCTTGGAGGGCACACGCAAAGTAGTGTGTGCATCGGGACCCAGGGGAAGGAGCAGTGACCACAGGGGAGATTGAACCAGACCTACCTGCTAGTGTCGGAGGGTCTCCTGCAGAGGCGGGGGTTGGCTGTGGCTAGCCATGGGGACAAGGACACTGGTAGCAGAAGTTCTGAGATGTACTCCTTGGCGTGAGTCCTCCCAGAGTCTGCCATTAGCCCCACCAAAGAGCCCAGGTAGGCTCCAGTGTTGGGTTGCCTCAGGCCAAACAACCAACAGGGAGGGAACCCAGGCCCACCCATCAGCAGTCAAGCAGATTAAAGTTTTACTGAGCCCTGCCCACCAGAGCAACAGTCAGCTCTACCCACCACCAGTCCCTCCCATCAGGAAACTTGCACAAACTTCTTAGATAGCCTCATCCACCAGAGGGCAGACAGCAGAAGCAAGAACTACAATCCTGCAGCCTGTGGAACAAAAAACATATTCACAGTAAGATAGACAAGATGAAAAGACAGAGGGCTATGAACCAGATGAAGGAACAACACAAAACCCCAGAAAAAAAACTAAATGAAGTGGAGATAGGCAACCTTCCAGAAAAAGAATTCAGAATAATGATAGTGACGATGATCCAGGCCCTTGGAAAAAGAATGGAGACAAATATCGACAAGATGCAAGAAATGTTTAACAAAGACCTAGAAGAATTGAAGAAGAAACAAACAGAGATGAACAATTCAATAACTGAAATGAAAACTACACTAGAAGGAATCAATAGCAGAATAACTGAGGCAGAAGAACGGATAAGTGACCTGGAAGACAGAATGGTGGAATTCACTGCTGTGGAACAGAATAAAGAAAAAAGAATGAAAAGAAATGAAGACAGCCTAAGAGACTTCTGTGACAACATTAAACGCAACAACATTCACATTATAGGGGTCCTAGAAGGAGAAGAGAGAGAGAAAGGACCCAAGAAAATATTTGAAGAGATTATACTCGAAAACTTCCCAACGTGGGAAAGGAAATAGCCACCCAAGTCCGGGAAACCAGCGAGTCCCATACAGGATAAACCCGAGGAGAAACATGCCGAGACACATAGTAATCAAATTGGCAAAAATTAGAGACAAAGAAAAATTATTGAAAGCAGCAAGTGAAAATGACAACATACAAGGGAACTTCCATAAGGTTAACAGCTGACTTCTCAGCAGAAACTCTACAAGCCAGAAGAGAGTGGTATGATATACTTAAAGTGATGAAAGGGAAGAACCTACAATCAAATTACTCTACCCAGCAAGGAACTCATTCACATTCAATGGAGAAATCAAAAGCTTTACAGACAAGCAAAAGCTAAGAGAATTCAGCACCACCAAACCAGTTCTACAACAAATGCTAAAGGAACTTCTCTAAGTGAGAAACACAAGAGAAGAAAAGGACCTACAAAAACAAACCAAAAACAATTAAGAAAACAGTCATAGGAACATACATATCAATAATTACCTTAAATGTAAATGGGTTAAATGCTCCAACCAAAAGACAGAGGCTTGCTGCATGGATACAAAAACAAGACCCATATATATGCTGTCTACAAGAGACCCACTTCAAACCTAGGGGCACATACAGACTGAAAGTGAGGGGATGGAAAAAGATATTCCATGCAAATGGAAATCAAAAGAAAGCTGGAGTAGCAATACTCATATCAGATAAAATGACTTTAAAATAAAGAATGTTACAAGAGACAAGGAAGGACACTACATAATGATCAAGGGATCAATCCAAGAAGAATATATAACAATTAAAAATATATATACACCCAACATAGGAGCACCTCAATACATAAGGCAAATGCTAACAGCTATAGAAGAGGAAATTAACAGTAACACAATAATAGTGGGGGCCTTTAACACCTCACTTACACCAATAGACAGATCATCCAAAAAGAAAATAAATAAGGAAACAGAAACTTTAAATGACACAATAGACCAGATAGTTTTAATTGATATTTATACGACATTCCATCCAAAAACAGCAGATTACACTTTCTTTTCAAGTGTGCAAGGAACATTCTCCAGGAGAGATCACATCTTGGGTCACAAATCAATCCACAGTAAATTAAAGAAAATAGAAATCATATCCAGCATCTTTTCTGACCACA